CAGAACCAGGAGTCCTGGCCCCCAACCCCACTACTCTAAACAACCAGCCCCCACTCTCTACCCAGAGTCAGGGAGAGAACCTAGGAGCAGTGTTCCCTGTAAGCTGGCACTTGGGTGGCCACTCAGATTCTAATGCCACCCAGCTGATTAGCGAGGGTTTGTGTTTGTATTGGTGGTGCACATTTGCACATGCCTCAATGCTCATAACGTGTTCCACACATGAATGGAAAAAATCTAGCCATGGATGGAAAAGATTAGAGGGAATATTGCCCAGGAGTCCTGGCTTCCAGCCCCCTTGTTCTAACCCAGCAGCTCCCACTTTTCCTCCCAGAACTGGGGAGAACCCAGGAGTCCTGGCTCCAGCACCCCTGCTCAAATCCCTAGTCCCTACTGTTACATTCTGCTACTGATTTCTCTCCCATACAGGTAAAGGCATTGGCAAGAAGCTCATGAGTAAAATTGCTGAGGTAACAGGATGTTATGACCCTTCCCAGTTCCTTCCTTTTATTGGTCTTAGATCACCATGCCACTATCATTGTTCCCACTTATACTATGAGGGAAACTGAGGCATTTGCCTGACTCCTAGCCATCACTCCCCACTTACCCACCCCCTCCCAACCATATCTTTCTTCACTATCAGAGCTGGAGAGGGAACCCAGGAGTCCTGGCTCCCAGCCCCCCTGCTCTAACCCACCAGGCCCCACTCCGCTCCTACAACCAGAAAGAGAACCCAGGAGTCCTGACACCCATCCTCACCCAGTTGATTGCTCTCAGATAGGCGTGGAGAACAGATGCATCGAGATGAAGTTTGTGGTGTTGGACTGGAACCAAGCAGCCATTGACTTCTACCAGAGCCAGGGGGCAGTGGACCTCACAGCTGCTGAGGGCTGGCATTTCTTCCACTTCAAAGGAGATGCCCTGGTTCGGCTGGCACAGGGGCAAACTGGACTGTGACATGGCTTTTTTTCCTGGCACAGCTGCACGGGAGGGGAAGGAAGTTTATTCACTGTACCACATGGAAGTGTCTACATGACTTATCACTGAGAAACCAGGAATCCTGGATTCTCTCCTCCCCTCCCCGATCTCCCCTGCCAGCCTCGCTCCCCTGCCAGAGCACAGGAGAGAACCGAGGAGTCCTGATACCACCATGCTGCTGTAAACCTCCTTCATCGATGTTCCTATTAAAATCCTTTTCTTCTGATCAATTTTCAGGGGCTGTGTGCAGTGTGGGGGGGGGGGTGGGCATGGT